CTGAGGTGAGTGGGAAGGCGGCTGTGTCTGTGAGGGTGGAGTCGCCCTCTGTGCCGCCTGACCTAGAGGGGCTGTGCCGGGCCACCTGCTTGCAGGGCAGGGCTCGGCCCAGCGCAGCGCAGCGCAGCCGTTACTGGGGCCTCGGGGGTCTGCTCACTGGGTGCTCCTGCCCTTAAGAAGGAGTGGGTGGGGCGCTGGAGCAGAACAGCCCTTAGGAATCAGGGTGGACCCACCCTGGTGGCAGGGCCAGAGGAGCACAGGGAGGAAGGAGAGGGGAGGAGGAAAGAAGGAGAGAGGATCGGGGGTCTGGGAACGGGCTTGGAGGGGACCGCGTCATGCAAGCAGCGCCCTCCTGAAGAAGGGAGCCCTGGGGGGCCCTTCAGGTGGGGTTTTCTCAGGATCTCCGCTTCCTTTGAGACTTTAGGGATCTCAAATGGCTAAGTATGTGTTGATGTGTGTGTGTGTGTGTGTGTGTGTGTGTGTGTGTGTGTGTAAGTGATTGATTGTTTTAGGGGAGGGGGAAATAAGCTTTTCTGGGTTTATTGGGGGAGGGGTGTTAGTCAGCTGTAGGTCTCAAGAAATGCCTTCTGTGGCAAAGTCCTCTAGGTCATCCGTGGAGATAATGCCCAGGCTTGGAACATCTCCCCCTTCCTCCCCTGGGCTCTGGGGAGGCGCACTGGGGTGCTGGCCTGCAGAGTGCTGGGTGGGGTCACTGTGAGGCCCAGGGGTCTGCTGCAGGCCAGCATCGCCGGCCCTCGGGGGCGCAGGACTGGCTGCCTCAGTGGTGCGAGGGCCCTGCTTTAGGAAGGTGGGGGCGGAGAGCTGAGAGGAGCAGCGCAGTGGCATCAAGGCCGTCACGGGCAGGGGCTGGAAGCCCGGGTACAGCATGTAGGGGGCAGCAAGCGCGTCCGGCGGGGGTGGCTCAGGGGAACCCCCCTTGGAGGATGGGATGGAGACCTTGACATATTTGCCCGTCTCTGGGTCATAGAAAGTCTTGATTTTCACCTGCAGCGGCAAATCGAAGACAAAATACTCTCCAGATTGGGGGTCTTGGAGAACCTTCTGGGTGGCAGGGTAAAGGGGCAGGGCCGTGAGGGGCTGGGGCGCCCCAGGCCGCCTCCTGACTGGTTCTGAGAAGGCAGACACTGAGTGACGGTGCGTGGGAGGGGGCAGGGACCTGACCATGGGGAACCTGGGTCGAGGCCTCTCTCCAGGGGATGGCGGCCTGTGCTCCGAGTCCTCCGGGTAGGGCCTTTCCTCTCGGGGTTCGCCATGCTTTTCCTGCATCTGGTCAGTCTTTCTCCTCTTGCTTGCCAGCTTCTTTGCCCGCCGCAGGGCCTTCTCTGTCTTGGGTGGGACTGCAGGTGGCTTGCCGGCCGCCCTCTCCAGCTGAGCAGGGAGCTCGGGTTTCTCAGGGAGGCCTGCTGAGCTGGTGGCTGCGTCCAGCAGTGAGCCTCTGGGAGACAGCGTCCTGAGGTCTTCTGCTGATGCCTCAAGTTGGGGGTCAGAGCTGGCCTCCCATGTGAGGGCATGTGTCAGGTCCTCCCTGCGGGTGACCCTGGCGTGGCCGGGGCTGACCCAGGGGCTGGTGTGGGGAGGCTCCGCTGGCAGCAGGCCCAGTTCGCTGGGAGCCTGGGAAGCCTCATCCCAAATGCTGCTGGCGGCCGGGGAGCACACATTGTTCTCCTCCAGGGAGCTGGTGTTGGGGGAAGTTGCCATCTCACCAGGGACCAACCTTCTCCCCAGGGGCCCTGCTCTGGATGTAGACAAAAAGTGACTTTTGAAATCTTGCGTCTGGTCTTCCCAACAGGTTCCTAGCTGCTGCGGGGGTGGCTGGTCTTCTAGGTTGCCTTCGGGCAAAGCAATGGTGGGGATGCACCTTGGAGCACCCAGCTTCCCCTGGTCTGCAGAACTGCTCTTGCCATCATTCAACACAACCTTCCGTGTGGCATCTGGGGGTGGGTTCTGCCCTTCGTTCTCTCCCACTAGTGGAGGAGATGAGACGACTCCCTTTGGGGCTGGCCGAGAGGTCTCCAACCTGGCCGTGCTGGGCGCCCGCCCGTGGTCCTCCATGCCCTCGCAGGCCGCACCCTTCAAGTATGTGCCCCGCATGCTGGCGGGTGTCGGGGTGCTGGGCATTTCCTGGCTCTTGGGGGCACAAAGACCAGCCTCCTCGCCCCAGCCCGGCCTTGGCAATTCCTCCTCTTTGTGGCCACTGCCCAGTGAGTCCTCTGAGGACATGGCCCTCAAGAGGGGCAGCATGATAGGTTTTATCACGGGGGTGGCCCTGAGGGTGTTGTCTTTAATTGCAAACAGCATGTGCTTGTTTGAAGTGGAAGACGGTGAGGGGGTAAGGTCTTTGGTGTGTGAACAGGGTGCATCCTTACTTCCCCCCATCCGAGTGCCTCTGAGATTAGCTTCCTCTCTCGATGCCTTCCTGGGTCTACCTCCAGACAAACTCTCCCCTTCTCCGTGCAACGACTGCCCCCTGCCGTGTTCCTCCACGCAGGCAGGCCCGTCACTCACGGCACAGTACTGTAGCTCATCTTTCCCCATCACTCTTTCCTTTGCGTCCTTCTGACTGTCGCCCGCATTCAGGTCGTTCCTCCTGTCCTCCCACTGGCTCTCGGTGAACCACGTCTTCTGCTGGTCCTCGAACGAGGCGAAGGACTGATCCGAAGAGCTGGTGCTGGCCTTGGCCTTGCTTTTGAGGCCTGGCACGAAATCAGACTGGCTGTCGCTATAAAACACGTCTTCCTCCTCGGGGGACAGGGGCCCCGGGGAGAATTTCTGGTGGAAGTTTGGGTTCTGAAGTCCTCCCTCTCTCTCAGGTTCTGTCCCCTGAGAGATGGATCTCAAGAACCCATTCTCTAGGCTGGGGGTCTTGGGTTTCTCCGCAGCCTTCCCCACCTCAGGCTCTTTACCACAAAGCTTCAGCGACAGGTGCTTCCTGGGGCCCCTGGTCACCACTTCCCTGGAGTCTGGACACCAGCTGGACCTGGTGGCACCCATCTCCAGTTCTCCATCAGCATCATCCTTCTCATAGCTGTTCCCATTGGCAGCCTCCCCGTTGACACAGAAGGGGGCTTTGGTGATAGCTGGAGGTGAAGTAAGAGTCAGACAGTTGTCTGCAGAGGCTGCACTGGGGTCGGCTTTAGGGTCCCTCTGGGTACTGATGTGCGATACAGAAGGGGCGTCGGTTGGTCTCTCCTTGGAAAGCTCGTTTGGAGGGCTGTCCTCAAGCCCATTGGGAAGGGTGACACCATTGCTCATGGGTTCTTGCCTGCCTCTGGTTTTCTCATCGAGGCCTTTCATGAGAGGCGAGGGACTGTATGTGCTCTTAACACGCTTCCGCACGTCCTTGAGGTTGAAAAGCAGGCTGGGGGCTCTGGATTTGTAGCTGTCCCGAGACTGGCAGTCACTGGGCTCCTTCTCCTGGTATCCGTTTAGCTGGCCTGGGGGCGAGGAGGCTGTCTCCCCCGGCTGGCTGTCAGATGAATCCAGGACGTTCTTGGTGGGTATGACGGGGGTCAGAAGCTTACTGATGTTAAAAGGAGGATTGTAATGCTCACTGGGCTCCACAGGCAGGTCAAATGCATCATTTTCTGGAAAATGCTCCTGGGGATTGTGCTTTGTATACAAGCCCGGGCCTCGCCTATGGGTCTGCTTCTTCTCTTCTGAAGCGTCTTGTAGACTTTCTTTCCCTCCTTTGCCCACCTTTGCTTTCCTCCATGGGGCCTGTGTTGGCTTCAGCTGAGGGTCAGGCTGGGAGCTGGAAGCTTTTCCATCCATAGTGAATACCTGGGCTCCTGGATCCCTAGGTCCCCAGGATCCAGCTGTGGAGAGAGCCGCTGCTGTCAGCCTGTTCTCTTCCTGACCACAGCTGGCCCGGACCGGGCAGGGAGAGACCTTGCGCTCAGGGGCCTGGGGCTCTCTTAACAAGGGCGTGTCCTCGTAATGCTTGGGAGCTTTGCTTTCTGGGACAGCCTCAGCAGCGTCCTTCCTCTCGGGCAGCCTTGGTTGGTGGGCATTCCATGACTCAAAAGCACTGTTTTCACTGTGAAGAAAGGTCCCTTTGCGAGCCCACTCCTTGCCTCTTTCAGGCTCCCCCTTGGCCGGTTGGTGGGGTGGAGAGGGGAACTTGTACTCAAACGAGTTGGCTGCGTTTTCAGGTGCTGGGAGGAAGCTGCTGGAGCCAGGACAGGCCATTTCGGGATTCGTGGGGGCCTCCTGCTCTCCACGCTTCCTGCCAGGCTGGTGGCTATTCTGATGGGTGCTGGAGACTTCTGCAGGCACCCTTCTGACGGTCAAAAAGGCAGAATCGAAGCAGAAGTTGACACCACTTTCTGGAAGAGGAGCAAATTTGGGGGGATTTTTGAGAGCCGGGGGCTTGCTGGTAGGAGGCCTGCTGTCACAGCGTTGGCTCTCGGTCCTGTCGAAGGATTTAATTAATGATGACACTTTAGAAATAGGCTTGTTGCTGCTCCTCAGGCTGGAAACTGGCACCTCCAGTCTCCTGTGGGCTGGTGTCAGTGGGGGGCTGCCTTTGGGATACTTTTCCTCCCCTTGAACGTACTTGGGCTGCTGTTGGAATGTGGCTGCCCAGCCCGTGTGCTCAGTGCCTTGAGACGGTAACTGGCTCCAAAGGCCGCTTTTCCTGTGCGTGTGGCTCACCATTCCCTGGTGAAAATTCCCGAACACCTGCCGGCTGGTATCTGGGGACAGGCCCAGGTCGGAGTCATTGAAGGATGTGTCCTCCGAGATGCACAGGCTCCGGAACGCCCGGTCCGTGAGGCTGCTCACCTCCCTGTCTGCATCGTCCAGCACGCTGCCGATGCTTGAGGAGTCGCTGAACCCGTCCGTGCACTTCTTATTCCCCTGCATCGTCACCTGGCTAGGAAGACTGTCCCCGGTCAGCTGGTGGGCGCGTCGGGATGATGATTCTGGAAGGGTTAGATGCAGCGCTCTTCTCACAAAATTAGAGCTTCTCGTTGACCAAATGCAATTGCTAAGTAGGATTTTTTTTTCTCTGCAAAAGAAAGAAATGCAGAGTATGAACAGCATATCCAGCTAGGTGGCTCCATACAAGAACTACATGCTGGTCCAGATGGGTAATGGAGCCTGTGATGGTTCATTTTATGTGTCAACTTGGCTGGGCCCTGGTGCCCAGTTTTTGGTTAAATGCCAGTCTAGATGTTGCTAGGAAGGTATTTTTTACATGTCCTTAACACTTAAGTCAATAGACTTTAAGTAAAGCACGTTATCCTCGATAACATGGGTGGCTGCATCCAAAAGACTGAGATCCCTGAGGGAAGAGGAAATTCTGCCTCCAGTCTTTGGGTTAGAGCTGCAACATCAGCTCCTCCCTGGGCCTCCAGCTTGCCCTGCAGACAGATGTCGGACTTGCCAGCCCCCACAATTGCGTGAGCCAGTTCCTTAAAATAAATCTCTTTCTATACGTACACTTCCTATTGGTTCTGTTCGCCTGGAGAACCCTGACTAACACAGTGCCCACAGTTCAGATGTGTCATTTTTGCAGAGACCTTCCCTGACCTCCCATGGAGTGTCTCCTCCTCACACTCTCTCACACGGCCCGCTCTATTTTCTTTGTGGTACTGAGCACAATTTAAATTAAATTTACTTCTTTGTTGCCTATCCCCTCATTAGACTGTAAGAGTCAGGAGCTCAGGATCTACTAGGCTGTCTGTTCGCTGATTGCCCTTGTTCCAGAGCCACCCCAACAGGGCACAGCCCCCAAGTGCCTGCATAGCCTGTGATCCTTCACTCTCTGACTTCCCTATGGGTGTGGCCAACGGGAGGTGCTGGTAGGAGGCTGGAGGGAGGGGAGCCAGCATCCCTGGCATTCCTCCCCCCTCCCTGCTCCCGGCTGTCGTGTGGGGTCCTGGCCCCTCCCCTGGGCCCTGACTCACGGAGCCCAGCAACACTGCTCCCCGTGGTCTGGGTCTGTGGGGAGGATGCCTGCCACTCTTCCTGATTAATTCCACATCCTGGGGTCTCCTTAATTCTGCCTACACTTCTGTTATATCCCCTTCCTTACCTTCTCTTCTTCTTCCTTTTTTTGAAAATCATGATGAAATACACATGACATAAAATTAATCAACTTAACCATTTAAGTGTACAGTTCAGTAGTGTTAAGTACATTCATATTGTGGTGCAACCATCACCACCATCCATCTGCAGAACTTTTTCATCTTCCCAAACTGAAACTCTGTACCCATTAAACACTAGCGCCCCATTTCCTCCCCTCTCCCCAGCCCCTGGCAACTGCCATTCTACTTTCTGTCTCTATGAATTTGCCTACTCTGGGTACCTCATATGAATGGAATCATACAGTATTTGTCTTTTTGTGACTGACATCTTCACTTAGCATATAGTCCTTGAGGATCATCCAGGTTGTAGCACATGTCAGAATCCTTCCTTTTTAAGGATGAATAATATTCCATTGTGTGTATGTACCACATTTTGTTTATCCATTCATCTGGTGATAAACACTTGGGTTGCTTCCATGTCTTGGCTATTGTCAATAATGCTGCTACGAGCATGGGTGTCCAAATATCTGTTCAAGATCCTGCTTTCAATTCTTTTGGGCACATACCCACAGATGGAATTACTGGATCACATAGTAGTTTTCTTTTTAAGTTTTTGAGGAGCCACCATACTGTTTTCCACAGCAGGTGCACCATTTTGCATTCCCATCAACAACGCACAAGTGTTCTAATTTCTCCACATCCTCACCAGCACTTGTTATTTTCTGTTTTTTTTTGCTGTTGTTGTTGTTTGTTTTTGATAGTAGCTATCCTAATGGGTATACATTGCATTCTCTTCTGGATCCTGTCTGAGGATGCTGCTTCCTGCTGGGACCCTAACCACTATGACTGGGATACATACCTCCAATGCCTAGAACAAGCCTGGCCTGGGGCAGGGGATAAGTAAATAAGTATGTGAAAAGTTGGATAAAATAGCAAGTATTGACCCTAGAGTGGCCCAGTGGTGCGACTCCAGCAGGGTGCCGTGCGTCCTCAGCTGACAGATGAAACACTGTCACACAGTGGCCCCGTTCACACCAGCAGCAGGGGCTGGCAAGGTTGCACTCTTCCTTCCTTGCTTGGCTGGCCACAGCAATAACACTGTCAGGGCTTCGGAGATGGAAGATGAAGGTGCTCCTGTCAGGGAGGTTGGGCGCACGTCGGGAGTTCCAGATCCTACCCCGTCTCCACGTGTGGGACAGTGCACGCACGAGGCTCCCACACAGGACTGATGCTGCTGTGCTAGCAGGCTTGTTGTTTGTCCTTTGGAGCCCAGCCTCCTTGGGGTTGTGTTTCCTGTCTCTTGACCACAGCACTCAGGTGAGTTCCAGTGCTGATTCATTGGCAGGCCAACTTGGTTTTATGAATGAAAGACCTGAGCTGGGGCTGCTGGAGGCAGAAAAGGACCCTGAGTTCTAGCGAATGAAGAACCACTGCCCCCTCTGTGGTTTATGTCCTCTATTTACAGGCTCTTCAGCTCTGCCTTGAAACTCAGGCTGCTTGCTCCCCAGAAAGCACAGTACATGTCTTCTAGATGGCCGCACAAAAGGGGGACCGTCAGCCTCAGACCCTGCTGGCCAACCTCTGTCCTTCTGCACTCCCTTCTCCTTCACGACTGCCTCTCTAAGTGCTCACGTTCTCAGTCTCCCACGCAGCTAGCGTGGCCATGCGACCGGGTTCTGGTCATAGAGATGGTGACATTTGGATGTCCAGGGAACTTCTTGCCTTTCTGATCAGAGGAACCATCCCTACTGTCTCCACTCTGTTGGTGTCCTTTCCTCCCGTTTTGAATGCAGACACGAAGACTGAAACTGAGTGTAACTGTTTGCTGGGGCTGCTGTAACAAAGTACCACAAACTGATGGCTTAAATAAGAGAAATTGATTATCTCACAGTTCTGGAGGCTGGAAGTCCTAAATCGAGGTGTTGGCAGGGTAGGTTCCTTCTGAGGGCGGTGACGGAACGGTCTGTTCCAGGCCTCTCTCTTTGGCTTGTAGATGGATATCTTCTCTTTGTGTCTCTTTCCTCTGTGCATGTCTCTGTGTCCAAACTTTCCCTTTTTAGAAGGACACCAGTCCTATTGGATTAGAGCCCACCCTAATGACCTCATCTTAACTAATTACACCTGCAACGACCCTATTTCCAAATAAGATCACATTCTGAGGTTCTGAGGTCCTGGGGGTTTGGACTTCAACATATGAATTTTGCAGGCTTACAATTCAACTCATGACACTGAGGCATTCACTTCGTGACCTTGAGGGACAAGCAATGGTGACTAAAGGCCAATTTGCTGAGAATGGCAGGGTGGACAGAAGAACGTTCCTGGGTCCTCGATGGTACTGCTGAGCTGTGAGCCTGTGCCAGAACCACCCCCTCTGGAATTTGTGTGATTGGGGTGGGGTCGGGGACTTTAGTGGCTTCGGCCATGGTCATCAAGATATCAGGTTTTCGATGTCCTGGTTCTTTCGAAATCAGGTTCTTGAAGTCCTACCTGTATAGTCAGGGAGTCTTCTGGAGTCCTGAGTGCTGGTGCTTCGATCTTGGCACTGGCTGATCTCAGTGATCCTGGGGTTTCTACATTTCCACATTAAAGTGAAAATAGGAGAGTTGGAGATCTAAATTTAGAATCTTAGAGTTAAGTAAACAGTGCCCCCCCCAGCCAATTAAATACCCTTTACTATTAGCAGATATTTGTTATTTTATTGGAACACTCAGTTTCTCTCCCCCTCCTCTAAGTAAAAACACTTGATACTTTTGGGGAATTTCCTCTCCCTGTGGTGTTCAGTCTTGGCGGAGCTGAAAGTCAAGGTGCCTTCTGAGACCTCCCTGGACCAAGTGCAGACGTGAGACCCAGGCAGGCCCATTGTCCCATTTCTCCTGGAGCGATGCAAGGACGGAAAGCTGCTCAGACACCTTTCCAGAGGCAGAGGTCTCTGTTCGTCCTTTCCCAGCCTGGAACGTCAGCCTCACCTTGAATCTACAAGGGCTCCAACTTCCTCTTAATATGTATCCATTCCTGCTTCATTTGTCCAGTTTCTGTTTCTGTTGTGTGTGGCCAAAGAACCCTAACTGATCTTGGATTTCTGTCGTGATTCCTAACAGTAAGGAAAGATGTTCGCTGATATTCAGAAAATAACCACATTCCTTCTGCCTCAGGAAAAAGAGAGACTTCCCTTTTGCTAGCTTCATTCAGATAATTTCTTCTGTTCTGCTTTGATTTACCCGGCTTCAGATGGGACTGTCCTAAAGTTGGCCTCATCCTCCCACTCCCACCCCAGTCCCACACTACCCAGTGGGAGCCTTCAGCGTGGTGGCTGACAACCGGATGTGTTTCCAGACGTCGGCTCTTGAGTGGTTCCATACCTGTTACAGCAGTGTGGGCTGCAGGTGCCTGTCTTGCTGGGTTTTAGGATCTGTAGTTTCAAAACTTCTTCTCACGCTTATGTTTGCTGTCATAACTGCCCATCTAGAAAGAAGAAGAAAAATAATTTCAGTGGAACCCAAAAGGCCAAGCATATGTTTGGTGCAAAGATGTCTTTAAATGTCAGTGATACTTTCAAATTTTTTTTAGTCCACACTTAACAAAATTCCAAACATAGGCATTTTTGGTGAAAACCAATATAGAGTCAATTTATATCCCTTCCAATATTCATTAATTTGTCTCTGGTCCAAGAAATCCTTAGGAACCTGTTTTAAGCCTTTGGGATTTCTTTTTTTGTGTGTGTGTGTGAGGAAGATCAGCCCTGAGCTAACATCCGTGCTAATCCTCCTCTTTTTGCTGAGGAAGACCGGCTCTGAGCTAACATCTATTGCCAATCCTCCTCCTTTTTTTTTTCCCCAAAGCCCCAGTAGATAGTTGTATGTCACAGTTGCACATCCTTCTAGTTGCCGTATGTGGGACGTGGCCTCAGCATGGCCGGAGAAGCGGTGCGTCGGTGCGCGCCCGGGATCTGAACCCAGGCTGCCAGTAGTGCAGTGTGTGCACATAACCGCTAAGCCAGGGGGCCGGCCCGCCTTTGGGATTTCTAATATGATTGGCCCAGTTGTGAATTATTTTTTGCTATTAAATCTGACCAAAGGCCCTTTCTCATGTGAATTAATAATGCGGGCTTTGCAGTAAAGAGAACTGGAGCGGCCGACCTTGAATCTACTCAGCAAGTAGTAGCACAGTGTTCGATTTATTGTTGGCAGGAGGCTGGAGTATCTATTTTGACAGCGAAAAGAGCAAAAAAGCCACTCAGGAGAATTTTAAGAGTGCTCAAAATGAAGTGTAAACTAATTAAAATAAATCCACTATGCAAATTTTAAATGCAGAGCATTGGGGCTTCCATGAGACCCCGCTCATCTCATAGCTCCTGGATTAATCTAGTCCATGGTAGTTTATTAATAATATTAATAATCATAATAACTCAAATTTGTGGAGTCCATTTCTTTGGAGATGCATGGAGGTGTTTTGTGTCTCCCACCGTATGTTGGCCCCATCCCTGACTGCCAGGCTCTCCTTCACGTCCCCAGGGCACGCTGGGTTTACCTTTTTCATAGATTATATACTATATGTTTTAGGAATGGAAGATTGCTTCTTTCTCTCCTCAACTAGAAAGAAAATGCCTTGAACCCAGGAAGGGAGCCTTATTTGCTTTTGTGTACTGAGCACACCAACACAGAAGCCAAATAAATGTTTGTGGCAATGCTCTGAAGTGGATATCTTTATCCTGAATTTTCTGGAGGGCAAACGAAGGCACAGAAAAGGAGTAAGAAAGAAGGAGAAATGCTATTGAGAAGGACCCCGGGCCTTGGGTCTTGAGGCCATCTGAAAATTCAGATCAACCATTTGAGTCACTACATAGCAGGCCCGCCCCACTGCCTGCAGCACCTCTGATGGTCAACGTAGGGATGAGGATGAGATCAACTCAAGTCACATATGGAGGAGACACAGGTGCAGAAGCACCTGGTGGCTTTATTTTGTCGACATTTAGGGGACCTATCGGTCTGTGCTTGGGTTCATGGGCTCCCTGTCACTGCTGCTGAAATGTGCTTTTCAGAGGCCAGCACAAAACTGGCTTGCTCACTACTTTGGACCGTTTGAAGGAGGCAACCTGAGTTGGGGAAAAGTCTGGCTCACAGAGGACCTTTCAGGTGAAAAGGTGTGGTTCTCCTCAGGTGGCGTGAATGAGGGAAAAGCTGCATTTTGCTGAGCCACGTTGTAACAAGGTCTTGGGATCTGCTCTCATGAATTTGTTGTTAGTGCCGTCCAGTCGATTGCGCCTCGTCGAATCCCTGTGGACAGCAGAGCGCACCCTGCCCGCTCTTTTTGTGCCATCCTCCCCGCTTCCGGCGCTGCATCAGACAGTGCTCTGCTGCTGTTCACAGGGCTTTCATGGCCACTTTCTTAGGAAGTGGGTGGCCAGGTCCTTCTTCCTAGTCTTAGTCTGGAAGCTCTGCTGGAACCTGTCCACCGTGGGTGACCCTGCTGGAATCGAAATCCCAGTGACATAGCTTTCAGCATCACAGCAACACGCAGCCGCCACAGTGTGACAACCGACGAGACAAGGGGTGCGGTTCCCTGACCAGGAAACGAACCCAGGCTGCAGGCGTGAGAGCGCTGAATCTTAACCACTAGACCACCGGGGCTGGCTGCTCTAATGAATACTTAGAAACATGAATTTTCATTTCTGTCACCACAAGCCAGTTCTTCCTCTGGGATCCCAGAAATCTGAGAGTCACCTGTGGCTTCTCCCTCTCCTGCCTCTCCGTGCCTCCCCACATCCAATCCACTTCCAGGTCCCTTGAGTCTCCTCTTTTAAAGGTCTCTTGCCAACTTACACCGATCTTCATCTCCACAGTCACTGTGTCCCCAGCTGCTGTCACGTCTCCCTTGGGCTACCACAGGAGCCATATTCATTCTCTGCACTGCACCCAGGAGCAGCTTTAAAAAATCAAATCTATTCATGTCAACCTCTTACTTAGAATCCCTCAATCACTTCCCAATTTTAAAGAATGACAATCAATCTCCTTAACAAAGAGCCTCCCTTTTCATCCTCCTCTTGGACTATTTTCCCCCTCATGCTTTGCTTCCCAGCCACCCTAGACTTCAACATGCCATGCTACTTCCTGCCTCAGGGCCTTTGCACATGTTGTTCCCTCTGCCAGGAATTCTTTACTTCCACCTTTTCCCTGTTACATGCTTAATTCCTACATATGCTTCAGAACCCAGTTCACATGTCCCTTTGACAAAACAGCTTTCTCAGGCCTATTTTAAGTCTCTCTGTTATATGCTTTCATAGCATGCCATACCCATCTCCTTTGCAGTACTTATCATAATTGTAATTAAGTATTTAACTGGGTGGTTACTGTTCAACATTTGTCTCTCCTGTTAGCCTGGGTGCTTCACTGTGTCAGGGCCCGTGTCTGGCTGGCTCTCCAGACGGTCCTCCTCATGGAGCGTAGTGCACAGCACCAGAAATATCTGTTAAATAAGTGAGCAAATTCCTCCACCTCTGTCATGGTATTATTCCCACTATTGAACAGCCTAGCAGGACTTATTTTATTGAAAGTCAATTATAATCCAATAATTCCAGAATTATGACAAATTTCAATTAGTGAATTTGAATCCAAGAGGATTTAATTTACTTTTTGATTCTAAGCCCTAAAATACATAAAATCTGCCTGTGGTGAGCGGTGGAGCAGGTGGGGCAGATTGTTCTTGGCGACAGCCAGCAGGCTGGTGCAGCGGGAGGCGTTCATGCACACCAGGGCGTATACCTTGGACGTTAGGGCTGAGTTTCTAGGTGAACATCAGCTGGCATTTGCATCAGGGAGACATAAGAAGTGACTTCCTGACTTCACTATTTACTGTCTGTCTCTCTAATTGCACTCAGTGCTCCAAGTTGGGGGGTGGCTTTGACTCCCTCTGGAGGCCCAGTGTCCAGCAAATACTTGTTGAGTACATTACCTGGGATGTTGTTTACAGCCCCATTTCAAATGGTCATGAACTGGTCCGTTATCTAAGTTATGGGTGTCAGGAATGAAATGTTGACATCTCCCTGTGTCGTTGGGGCAACCTGCAGAGCTCAACAGCACCTGTTATCTGGTCTTCCCACACTCCAGCCCCGGACGCTGGGCGCTCGTCAAGTTTGTATCAGGTCGAGCAGGTTCTGCAAAGCCCCAGAGTGCACAAGTGGGAATGGGGTCCCCAGGCAGGAATTGGTGGACTGGACTTTCCAGTTCAGCTGTTGGGGACGGGGCAAAGGGTCTGGTGACACACCCATTGCGCAGACATGCTTAGGGCGAACTGCAGGTGTGTATGCACCCCCGTGGCCTTGAGGCTGGAAGAATTCCACTGAAGGATGTGTTTTGTTGTCTCCTTATTGCCAGGGTCATCTTTTTGAACCAGAATATATCAAACAAACTGAATCTGAGCGAGTGTCCCCATAAATCAACTTTTTTCTCACAATGAGCAATGAAATATCCTTTGAACAGTCATCACTAAACTCCAACTCTCCCAAAATGTTTCCTCATGTGAGGCTTTTTGCCATGCTGTGCTGCACGATGCTGTTGAACTATCATGGACTGGAATATACTGCTTTATTTATTTTTTTTTTGTGAGGAAGATCAGCCCTGAGCTAACATCTGTTGCCAATCCTCCTCTTTTTGCTGAGGAACACTGGCTCTGGGCTAACATCTGTGCCCATCTTCCTCCACTTTATATATGGGACGCCGCCACAGCATGGCTTGACAAGCAGTGTGTCGGTCTGCACCCAGGATCTGAACCTGCGAACCCTGGGCCGCCAAAGTGGAGCGCACACACTTAACCACTACGCCACGGGGCTGGGCCCTGGAAATGCTGCTTTTTGCAGATACAATTTTCTCTCTCTCTGCTGGTCCCTTACAAATGCCTCTGCGTGACCTTAGGGTGCTCTTGGTGGGGAAGCTGGAGCTCTCCCCGCACTCCCCCATCCTCCAGGCCTGCAGTGCACAGGATGAGGGAGCTGCAGGCCCGGGTGGGTCCCTGCTTGGCTCCCTGGAGTGGTAGTTTCTCTGCTTGGAATGTCTCTCTCTGTCCCTTGGCCACCAACTGCTGACCACTTCCTCCTGTTCTCCTATTCCTTGTAGAATATTTAAAAAGTCACTTGCACTGCTTTACTCCACTGTATTGGCTGTGAATCCATGTTTCCCACAAGGCGTTGTGCTCCTGGGGGTGAGGTCCCCATCTGGTCCGTCTTTGACTGACAGGATGCCTGGTGGTCACTGGTCATGTCTTCAGCTGCTGTTGCTGAGTACACTTCTTGGGCCCCAAGGATGTGATGACAGAGGTTTGCTGTGAGTATGCCGTGTGCAAATGGAGAGCTGAAAGCTCTGTCTCCCCACGTTCTCCGGTGTCCCACAGGGATCCTGGCTGGCGGCCAGCCCAGGCCTGAGAAGTCACACAGCCCACCCTCTGCTGGTCTGCCCCAGGCTGCGAGGACA